TATCCTGGGAGTTTAGATGTTTCCCTGAGTGACCGGGTCTGCTACGCGGCAGGGTGCCAAAATAAACTTTGAAATGTGCATCATGCAATTTTCAAGCGGGATCATGGCTGACATACAGTGATAATGAATGCCAAAATGGGAATTTTGGAGAGCGGCGTGTTTGGGTGTTGCGCATCACTCTCATCAACTCGAAATTATGACTCTAGGTATTCAAGTGTCTAATTCATGAGGTAGGACTATAAAATCGGATGTATCTCTTCTTATTTTTTCACACGGAGTGATAATGGGTGCCGAAATGGGCAATTTGGGCGTTTTGAGGTTAGAAATCGGCGCGTTCGGTTGTTGCGCACCACTCTCATCGACTCGAAATTTTGACTAAATGCACTTAAGTGTCTAATTTATGAGGTAGGACAATAATATCGGATGTATCTCTTCTTATTTTTTCACACGGAGCGATAATGGGTTCCGAAATGGGCAATTTCGGCGTTTTGAGGTTAGAAAATTGCGTGCTTGGGTGTTGCGCACCACTCTGATCGACACGAAATTTTGAGTAAATGCACATAAGTGCCTAATTCATGAGGTAGAACTATAATATCGTATGTATCTCTTCTTATTTTTTCACACGGAGTGATAATGGGTGCCGAAATAGGCATTTTGGCCGTTTTGAGGTTAGAAATCGGCGCGTTCGGTAGTTGCACACCACTCTGATCGACTCGAAATTTTGACTAAATGCACTTAAGTGTCTAATTCATGAGGTAGGACAATAAAATCGGATGTACCTCTTCTTATTTTTTCACATGGAGTGATAATGGGTGCCGAAATGGGCAATTTCGGCGTTTTGAGGTTAGAAAATTGCGTGCTTGGGTGTTGCGCACCACTCTGATCGACTCGAAATTTTGACTCTAGTCACTTAAGTGGATCACTTAAGAGGTGAGACGATAAAACCGGATATTTCTCTCTACATTTCTCCACGCCTAGTCATCAAAGGAGGCTAATGGTGGCATTTAGGCCGTTTTGAGGTTAGAAAATTGCATTTTTAAGTATGGCGCACCACTCCGATCAACACGAAAATTTTCCTGTATCTTATTGGATGTATAAATTAAGAAAAGAGACAATTTTTGTTTGTGTGCATGTTTTCATACGCCTCCTAGCCGTGAAAAAAGGAAAAAAATGATTTTTTCAAAAATTTTACGAATTTTTTTAGGGGCTAAAATATTATCCGATGATAATGAATTTTTTTCTACACAAACTAAGCTAATTGATGTAGATTTTGACAAATTTTGGTTCAATTCTATCGAAAATTACGAAAGTTATGAGGAAATGACGTTAGCATAGTCAAAAATAGCCCAAAAAAGCGGTTTTTGGGGGTCTGAGGGGGGGCGGAGGGGGTTGGGGGGCTAAAACCCCCCAAAACCTAAGTTTTAGGACCCCCTTGATGACTTAAAATGGTTAAAATAAAAATCCATTCACAAGGGCATTTTGACATGCTTATCCCGGGATACCCTTTCTCGCATTGTTCCACTATGGCTTTTATTGCTTGGTATAATTTCGCATGCCAATGCCAATCTTGTTTTTGTTTAACCGTGTTTTTTTCTTAGTTTGAAGGATTTTTAAAAATTGTATTTTATTGGCGGGGGAAATTTCATACAATTCTTCTCAGTTGTGCTGAGTGAACAACCAGAATAAAAACATGATTTGCAGTTTATGAAGGCACTCAGGTTACATTTTGGAACCATGCTTCGTGTTTTACACTATTCGTAATTTTGTCTCATCCGGCGTGGCTCTCTTTCTCATTATTATTCAATTCTTTCTGATCATCCGCGGTTTTCGATCGTCCGTAGTTCTCATTCGAGATCCCACGGCCTTCGCCTATCCACGGTTCTTGATCATCCGCGGTTTTCGACCATCAACGGCTATCCCTTACCCGTGGCTCTGAATCCCCCACTGCTCTCAATTACACGAGGTTCTCGATTAACCGCGAGTGCCAACAATCCGTGGCTCTCGATCATTCGCGGATGATCAAAAACTGTGTATTGTTGAGAATTGCTGATTACTGAGAACCACGGATGAACTATCCACAAAAAACGCGGATAATCGAGAAGAACAGATGACCCGAGAACCGCAGATAATCAAGAAAAACAGATGACCGAGAACCGCGGATAATCGAGAAGAACATATGACCCGAGAACCGCGGATAATCGAGAAGAACAAATGACCGAGAACCGCGGATGATCGAGAAGAACATATGACCCGAGAACCGCGGATAATCGAGAAAAATAGATGACCGAGAACCGCGGATAATCGAGGAGAATAGATGACCGAGAACCGCGGATAATCGAGAAGAACATATGACCCGAGAACCGCGGATAATCGAGAAGAACAGATGACCGAGAACCGCGGATAATCGAGAAGAACATATGACCCGAGAACCGCGGATAATCGAGAAGAACAGATGACCCGAGAACCGCGGATAATCGAGAAAAACAGATGACCGAGAACCGCGGATAATCGAGAAGAACATATGACCGAGAACCGCGTATAATCAAAAACCGCGGATGATCAAGCACCACTGATGATCGAGAGCCGCGGAAGATCGAGCAATCCTGCTGATGGAGTACCATGGATGAGCGATTTTCTTAGGTGATTGAGAGCCACTGATGATAAAAAAAACCGCGAAGAAGCAAGATCCGTGGTGTGATATGAACTTCGGACGAATAAAAGCCCCGCATAATTGAGAACAGCAGATGGCTCAGAGCCTCTGAGCCGCGGATGATCGAGGACCAGTGATGATCAAGAACCGCGATTTCAGTCATCCGCTCTCTTCCATTATCCGCGAGTCTCATTCCCCTACGGTTCATACCGCACCGCGAATCTTCAGTATCCGCGGTACTCAAGGCTCCGATCACAGCAAATAATCTGAGACTCGAGTACATTTTCTTCTTTCGATGGCAGGTTTGTCGAACGTGCAATGCGTCGGGGATGGAGTGCGGAGCGGTGGAGGACAAACCCGGTGAGGGCATCAAAGGAGCCGACTTCGTCTTCTACGTAAGCGCCATGGAAACGGAGAGATGCCATAAAGGTCTAACGGTTGCCTACGCAGCGCACTGTCAACAGGAATCGGCCCTCGACAGGTACGTTCAAAGCTTCAGCAACAACCGCGTAACCTCTCAAGAAAAATTATGTAGAGCCGTGATTTTCGCTCTAATCGGTCACATCCACCTGTATCTTAACCTCTTTTTACATGGTCGTAATGATGACCGCAAAATGAGTAAGAGGCAAGCATGGACCATAGGTATAGTAACTGAAAATGTAGCATGAGCATTCGGCTGTCGAAAAATTTCCTCCGTTACACAATTTTTTAAGGAGGTCTAACACAGCGTTACAGATCATTACAGGGGGGGGGGGGGGCGGTTGTCAAAAAAATGCAAATTCAGCGTTGCGTAATTTAGGAAAACCCCTAAACTGCAAAATTTCAAATCAGGATGTCGAACCATTTACAATATACTTCTCTGAGTTTCCGCATTCAAAGTATTGTCGCCCAGGCTTAAAATCTAATCTAGCGTAATCTAATCTTGAAGACAACCTGACTTTAGTTTTAATATAAATGAACAATTTAAACCAAAAACATTGATTTTTATCATTATTTTTTCAGCCTCTGTTCCCTACTCTATGATCGTTATTATAAAATCTTTAACAGATGCTCCTGTTTTTTTTTCTCTCTCTCTCTCTCTTTTTTTTTTTTTTTTTTTTTTTTTTTTTTTTTTGTTCAATTTAGGTACAGAATTTTTTTTATCAATTTAAATTTGTGTCTGTACGCCTTATGTAAGTCTCTCTAATGTTTTTTTTTTTTATCATTTCCAGGCCCATAGCAGGACATGCTAATCTGTGTCCAAACAGTATCAGCACGAAACCTCAGGAGTTAGAAATTTTGCTGTCTACTGTCAAGCATGAAATTCTCCATGCCTTGGGATTCTCCGTCAGTCTTTTTGCCTTTTACAGAGATCAAGATGGCAATCCCCTAACTCCGCGGGAGGACAATGGCAAACCGCTCCTGAATGAAAAGTATAGTCTTAGGGTCATTTTGTTTGTTATCTCTCATAACTTGAAGCTTTTCTTTGCAAAGAATGTTTATCTATACCTATCAGCAGATAGTTTTTTTTTGTGTGAATGCATTCTATTACAACTGAATGTAGATCATACCTTGGAGGAGGATATGTATTGCTGTTTGTCTAAGTATTGAACCGTCTAAAAGAACGAGTCTAGCAGCCAAAATTATGACAGTAAAGACATTTTTTTACCAATTTCATTTATAGACAGTAAGTTGCAACGCACGTTGGCTACATCTCCATCTTACTGTCTACACGACCCTTGCGTCTAAACGCTTGTTGGCTACATCTCCATTTTACTGTCTAAACGACCCTTGCGTCTACCGCAATCAGTTTGTGAATTTATCTTCAATAATTTGAGAGAAAAAAAGGTCTTCACTCCCTTTACTTATGCCCTTCGTAAAGTAATGCTGAAATCCTGCAATCAAGATAATTGTGGAATTTTAAAGTTTTTTGTGTTCTGTAGTAGCCACAGACATTAAACAAAAAAACCTCCTTCATTTTCAAATTTTCCCTTGCTGAAATTCATTAAGAGAAAAGTACTTGCATCCCCTCTCACCATTTATGTACTAGCCGGAAAATTTCTGTTAAGCCGGTTTCCCATGTGGACTCAAAAGGCTGGAAAAAAGATGCCAGAGCACATTCATGAGACTTTTATTTGCATTTTTTTTCTATCTCTTTACAGATTAAGAAAAAAAAATAGATAAACAAATTGAGGCAAATTAGGTACTCTTTCAGGTTGCACAACGTAGGAACCTGCATGTTTATTCAATATTTAATTTTCTAGGCTTTCTCTCGATTTTCCATAACTAAATTTTCAGAACTTTAATACCTAGCAATCATATCTTTACGCTTTGGTGCATTACTATCAGTTATAATTTCTCTCATCAATGATTTTCATTGTTCTGAACACACAGGCTTCAGGCTCGGCAGTGGAGTACGAAAGTCATCAACTCTGTTGTACGTAAAAATTGGGCTATCCATAACTCCACAGTCGATCGAACTGTCAAAGTTCTGGTCACACCAAAAGTTGTTGAGGAAGTTCGCAAACATTTCAATTGTCCAACACTAGAAGGTGCTGAGTTGGAGGATCAAGGTGAAGAAGGAACAGCTTTGACACACTGGGAAAAACGTGTGTTTGAGGTTTGTATTGGACAATAAGTATTCCTAGTTCAGTGGTTGTTGAATTAGTATCCAAGACTAGTTGAAATTGAAGAATGAAGCACTAGTCAGGGTGCAACTTTTAGCATTTTGATACATGTTCTCTCTTTGAAATTTCCTGAAGAACACGATTAAGAATTTTTAGAACAAACTCTGATGTTTTATGTTTACTCTCGTTTTTATGTTTTCAATTTTATTTAGAATTGGTTATCACTTATTTAAATTTCCTGCTGACATGAAAAACAAGAGTCCACTTGAATCAAATTGCGCACTACAACGGTTTTGGTAGGCTTCAACCATGATGATACATTTTAAAGAGCCATTTGGAACATGTCAAGCCTAGGAATTGTTAGCTCAGTGCTGGCGGGGAACTGCTGCACCAACTTCACATCGGAAGCTGGCTGCTTGAAATGATACTATATAATCTTTGCAAAGTGACGATGTTAGTGAGCCCATTTTCAGGGTTGCCGGCGGTGTGGAAAACCGGAAAATGTGCTTAGCATTTAGCAGAAGGGTGTGTAATTTAAAGGAAAAAATCAAAGTGGAAGTTTTATCCGTAAGTCAGCAAATGTCTGGGAATCAAAAATTTTAGACTCTGGAAATTTGAAGATGAAGAAATTATGGCAACCCTGCATTTTGAGGCGTGTTGCCTTAACTGCTAAGTGTGATACACAGTACCTATCAGGGTCTATTCTGTTACAGCTAGTCTTTTACAAATTAATATGAAAGCAAATAATTTTTAAATCTACGAAACCATTTTTCTATGTTTACTCTTAGAATGAAGCAATGACTGGAACTCACACTCAGAATCCAACATACTCAAGAGTCACCTTAGCATTAATGGAGGATACCGGCTGGTACAAAGCAAATTATTCCATGGCCCAGCCATTAGCTTGGGGCAAAAACTTAGGCTGTGATTTTGTCATGAAGAGCTGCAAACACTGGATTGACTCAAAGCGAGCTCAGTAAGTTCTCAGTATTTGCAATAACCTAAAGCAAGTTTAAGCTTCCAAAACCTCACTCAGTGGGATATCTCCTGTTTTTTTCCTTTTTTAATTGAGACTCAGAGCTACCTTAGTTGTTGCTAAGGGCTTTTTTTTATCCGAACCGCAGAGGATCGCTACGGAACGCATCACTTTTTTATCCTATTCCACTGGCATGTTCCAGTGCGGTCCATCCGTTCCAGTGGAAAGCTCAGACCACTCTTCCGAGGTGGGTTGAGGCCGCAGTTAGGCCGGTTGAACCATCCGGAACTGCAAAGATCCCAATCCATTGCGTTCCATGCGTTCCATGGATAAAATAAAAGCCCTCTAATCGTCATCAGTGTCACATATCATGGTGCAGGATTGTTTGCAATAGTTACATCAGAGAGATATGTAATTGAAGAGAGTCAGCCAGAAAGGTTAAAAGTTTGGAGAAGGGGCAGGATTGTTCGCCATAGTTAAATCAGAGAGATATGTAATGGAAGAAAGTTTTCAGAAAGGTTAATATTGGGAGGAGGGAAAAAATATTATCTTTAAAATGAATGATTTTAGTGAGAGTTAATTATCAACGTAATTTAAGTATTCAATGATATTCTAAATTACTCAAATGTTAGATTAATCGAGTTTTAGACTCCATTTAGCACACAACCAATTCTAAATTCTTCAATGGAAAAAGGAAAAAGAAAAAAAATATTGGTTCAAGACGAATTCAGTGAGCCTGCAGCCTGCACTTATAATATTTTTGGCTAATTTTATTTTCAGGAATAAATCAATCCACCCGTTTTGTGAGAAAGTGAAGCGGGATCCTCTTGAAACTGAATGCACAGATGATCGCAACTCCCTAGCCCTCTGCAACTTAGTTGAACATGCTGAGCCTTTACCACCATTTTATCAGGTAAAAAGAGATTTGAATCCTTTCAAGAAAGATTTAAAGATAAATCTCTCGTTTGAAGCATGGGAAATCGGTATTTAATTTATTTTTGGTACCTATATTTTTAATTGATGTTTTAAAAGTTTCCTAATGTTTAAAATTTTCTTTTATATTTTACTTTCTGAACATGTTGCCTGACACACCAGTTTCCCGCATCAAAGGGTTCTACAAGGGTAGTGCTGCGCTGGTCGTTTCAGCCGTTGTGTTTTCATAGGTCACGAAAAAGAATTCTATTGAGAATAAAGAAGAGAGTAAAGAAGAATTTTAAAAGATCATACAAGAATCTTAGACCCCCCTTCCTCCCTTCCTCAATGGAATTAGTGTTTAATGTAATGTTTTGGAGGTTATTTGAACTTCATTTCTGTCAATCTCTTTATGAATCCAAGAAAAGACGTCTTGGAAATGATTTGAAAGTGGCTGTCTGTAAGTATACTAAAGCATTTCATTGTTTATTTGTTGTGCATTGGGTCTGTAGCTCAGAAAAAAACCCCTAACTCATTATTTTTTTGTCATCTTATTTTCAGAATTTTGACTACATTCCACACATCGAAAAAGGGCGTGAGGCTTACTATGGAGGTTCTGTGAGCTTAGCTGATTATTGTCCGTACATTCAAGAGTTCACATGGCGATCTAAAAATGTTGTGATAAGGGGATCCCACTGTCAGTTTCCAGAAAATAATCCTCGTAAGTCTAATGCTTAACCTTATAATCCAAATGCACAGTCTTTTTCAACTACTTGCTGTAAATGGAGTTTTGGAAGCTGAGAAACTTGGGAAACTAGGAAAAGTCTGAATGAAGAAATTGAGTCATCTGTGTTTCCTAACCTATTTAGTTGCCTGCTAAAATTTGCACATTCAGTTCCTTGTGATATTTTAACGTTCTTTTTGCTAAAAATGTTTTCATGGGTTGCAATACTAATTACATTGGTTTGAAGAGTTTTCTCAAGGAGTGATATTACATATTCCGGTGAGACTTCTTGTACTAAGATTCTGACAATAACTAACCCAACTCACTTCACCTAGCTTTTCAGGTAATATATTTAGTTGATGAACGATAGTTGAGTGCAAAGCACCCCTGAGATTAGAGACAAGGATTTTGACTTGACTTCCTAGCCATGGTGCTTGGTTCTAAACAAAACAGAACTACTCATATTAAATGGAAAAACTCATTTTAAATGTGTTTTACCTCAAAAAACCGACTTCAAGTAAGTTTCACTCTTTTCGAGTAAGTTTTACCTTTCTTGGAAAAATACTGGTTACAACCAATCGGGAAAGTAACTGCAGACGAGCTTCAGATTTTATCGGATCCATCATCTCTGTCTCTAATCTCAGAAGTGCTTAATACCCAACTCTCGCTCATTGAAACAGTGGCTTGCTATCCAGATATAGGTGTTTGACTAAGCGCTCACTACATGGCGGCAAGTTCGCTTGTTGCAGTGGCCCCTTGCGCAAACCTCAGATTTGTTTTAAGAACGTCCCTCAGCATGAAAACAAAGGGTTCAAAGGCTTTGCTGCACTGATGATGGATCCAATTAGATCTAAAATGTTTTTAAATTTGTTCTCTTGATTTGTCACAACAAGTTTTGCTCCAAACAGCGAGCCTCTAATGGGACAATTAATAGAAATTAGTTTTTCCCTTTCTAATGAGTATTTTTTTTATATGGCCATGACTATGATGTCAAGGCAAAATATTTGGCTCCAAGTTATTTAGTACTAACAGCTCACTGTGAGTAGACTTTTGATGTCACATCAGTGTGATTCTTTATATCAGTGAGATATTCCACTTCAGGTTCTTTAGTTACTTCCTTCCAATCCTTAATGTTCTGTCTAATCTTTAATGTTCCCTAGATGCTGACAAGAACTTTGCTCTAGAATCTTACGGACCTGAATCAAAGTGTTTTGACCACACAAATCAAATGTGGGAGGAGTGGTCGTGTAAAGAGAAAAGACTTTGGCAGCATTGGGGCTCTGGCTGCTACGAGTTTCTTTGTCACAGTGGCAGGCTACATATCATGGTAGGTTTCTGTCCTTTATGCAGGTTAATTCTTTTATTTATTTGTAACCAGCCACAAGAAAAGAACCCTTGTGCCTCGCAGTTGCAGGCCAAAAAGGCACTGGCTGGTTCCAATGAATAGTGGATAGTGTGAGTATCTGGCTGGAGACGGATACCTGAAAAAAACGTAACCGGCCGGACCATGCAGTACTCCGAATAATTGCCAAATACCTAGCCCAATTTTAACATAAACTTACATTTTATGTAGCTTTATTTTGGCATTGATACATTGCATTTGTTTTCATACCGCATTCTTTTTTTATATAATTAGGAGTCTCTTTGATTAATTTTTAAACCGATTTTCCTTTTAATCATTGCAATATTCCATTTCGATTTCCTGCAGTTCTTCATTAACTGCAGAATTTTTGGTCCCTATCATTACAAATAATGAAGACTTTATGGTACATAATTAATTGGGTTTTTTCTGCCCAAAATACAAATAGCCATTAAAGTAGCACAAGAGTTGGTGGTAAGGCACCATCCTTCCTCTTCTCCATGACTCACTAATTTTCGTAAGTTCATTTTCATAGACGGCAGATTCTCTTCTCATTTGCTATTTTTTTCTTTTTTTTTCATTTTTTTTAAATTTTTATTTCAGGTTGCTAATTATACGTATACCTGCTATTTTCCTGGACAAGAAATAAAAATTCATATCCTTTGGAATGGATGGCTCCACAAAGGATCCATTGTCTGCCCACCATGTGAACAACTTTGCCAAGTAAGATTATTCCCAAGTTCTCTCCTACTTTTGTATAGGATATTCTCCTCAAAAAAGGAGAGCCTGTCTCACCATTTCAAAACTTTAATTGTCAATTGACTAACAAGATGGAAAACTTTCATAACTCGCCCAACATGATCACAATGGAATGACTCAAAAGAAATCCTTTGCTAAATGATGAGGAATCAAAGATTGTCCCTGAAAATTTGAATATGTGCTCTGAAATGTAAGAGAATAGTTCCAGTCTCTCCAAATTTTGTCGTAAAGCCCTTTATGCATCTCAGCTCTTCATTAAAAAGATTATTTCCCCCTCATGGTGAGATGTTTTTTTCATGAAATTTGGCAAAAAATTACCAAATAAATTACATTACACGTAAGTGCAATTATTTGGAGTCATCAGTGCAACATTTATCCATCGAAAGACTGGGTTTCCACTTTATTATGAATCTAAAAATTCAAGATATGGAGTAGTTATCAGAGAGTCTCCAATTTACATGAAAAATCTGAGAGTAACAGTGTAAATTGTCCACAATATATTCTGTGAAAAAGCCTGCAAAAAGCAAGTGCAAAAGTAGCATCCTATCTTGAAGAAGGGTATTTATTTTTGTTAACATTTACAATTGAGGTGGATGGAGAAAGGGCATTTCTTGGTTGCATTGATTCAGAATCTTCAGTGCTAATTTATATTTTAGAGAGGGAATTATTCGGTGCATTTTCTAAAATTTTACGTTTTTAACATTGTAATATCATTAAGAATATTCAGTAAAAGTTACAACACATCATATACATTTGCTTTAATCATAATGGATGAAACGTTAGTGGAGATTTTGAAACACTGCAGCCAAGAAATACCCTTTCTGTACCCAGTGTTTCAATTCTGTTCACAATTCTTCAAACCTCACCTGTTTCTTGTGTTCCAAGATTTTTGTCCGATCACTCTTCAATCTCAAATTCACCCAAGTTCAATAATTCTTTCAGCCCTCCAATATTGCTTGCTTGCTTTTCTGTTATAAGACAAAGAATAACGCGGACATTTAGTAACAGTAAATGCTATTGATTGTCAGAAACATGATCAAATTAATAATTATTATCTGTTCCAGCTTGAATCTTCAAAAGCTCAGTATTTTTTTTTTTAGTCATGGTTGTAACAGTGACAGTAAGTGCTGCTGAGGGTCTATCAACATGACTGTATGAATAAATCTTAAGTTCTGTCCTATAGTAGTAAAATATATCAGAACCTTGATGTGAAGTATAATAATGATGGCAATAGAAGAAAATTAACTGGAGTATGAGGAGTAAATCCTTGCAAATAAGACAATAAGAAATATTTAAGTCTCCTTTGCCTTTCTGTTCAAACTTTGATAAAATAGCATGTCTATCAACGTCTAATTCCTCCTTTTTTCATGTACAGGAACAATTGCTAGAGAAGGAGGAATATTGCAAACCACCAAGCGCACTACCTCCTGGAGTGAAATATCGCTCGGACGTTCAAACATGTCGCGGCACAAATGTGCGTGGCGTGCTCTCACATCCAGTTACCATGACGACTTTTTTTTTATTATTCTGGTTTGCGTTGTCATCATCCTAGCAGGACTCTATAGATGTTTTATCCAGTTTGTGAGGCAACGGCCTACCAACCAAGAGTCTACTGCTCCACCAGCCATCTTGTGAAATTCTGCTGTTCTTGTTGAATGAAAGCAGCAACTTGGGTTCGAGACACCCTATTAGTCTAATATATTGTTTCTATTTTGTTGTCTGGCTAGTCAACGGTTACTCTATTTTTATGAAAGTTTAAAAAACAAAACAAAAAAAAAACCAAAAAAAACCCCTTCTAGATTCCTCTAGGGACATTCCAGATTTCTAATACTTCCAAAAAATGGAAAATACTTTTTCTTTCAGAGTAGTTAAGTTTTTTTTTTCTGTTTTCCAAGTTCCTTCTAAATTTCTTGTTTTGGGCAATTTGAAGAATCTCACACACATTATGGAAGTCCGCTTGTGATAAGCTAGAAGCCAAAGGAACATACTCATATGCAGTTTTATCCCTGAATTTAACATTAGAACGCTACAAGGTACGAAATTAGGAACGTCAATAGGTATGCGTTTCCTTATTGAAATTTTATGTAGAATATAATGGAAGTATCAAATCTTTCCGAGTTCAACCGATATGTGAGAAAATAAGGGCAAACATAAGTTGCTGTGCTTAATTTTTTATCCTGTCCAGTGGTCTGTTCCGGACAAAATTTAACCTTTGCTTCCAGCTCTCCAGAAGATACTGCGTATACTCAAGTTTTAGGTACCCTGTTTTGTTTGTACAAACAATATACATAAACTAGGTATTGTTTGGCAAAAATATTGTGATAAATAGCTCGCATAAAATAAGACAGGGCCAAGCCAAGTAATCATTTAAAAAGTCTTCAATTAATGTTATCTTCCATTTTGTGTTTCTTTACAATCCATTCTTTCTTTAAGTTAAAAATAATGGGTTTTAGATCAAGAGTTATGTGATAATTAGCCATTTTTGAATTCTCCTTGCATTTTTTTAAATTATGCATTCTTACAAGTACTTTTTGCTTCTTTACTCCAATACAATCAATATAGAAGGAAAAAAAACCATAAAAATTTCCGTCCTTGTATGTTTTAAAAATTAATCTGTGATTGAATTATAGTATTAGATAAGTTTTTTTTTTTGTCTGGTTTTTTTTCCATCCGTCAATGTGATGCTATTTCTTGACATCAACTTACCGTATGTACCCCCCATTTCTGTCATTTCTCTCATTGGCATTCCTTACTTCTTTGTTTTATTTTTATTTTAGAGTCCAAATCCGAATGGAAACCATTGGTTTTTTTTTTTTCTTAAGTAGTTGTTACAGAAAGTTTTTCAAATTCATTATGAATTGCTATTTTAAGAATTTCTGTCATCAGGATCATCTATGAGAAAATTTACAATATCATCGCCCCACTACGGCGTCGAATGATTAAGGAACTAGCATCACTGAGATGGTTTCTAATTTCTCTTCTTTCCTTTGTCTGAAGAGATTTATATTCCTTCTAGAGAATATTACATGCATTTTACTGTATATTTACTTTGAAAGGACTTGAAAATTCTCATTCTCCGTGTTTTTTCAAAGTAATTTTTTTTTTTGCCTTCCTCAATTTGAAGCCAAGAAAAGGTATCACTCTCCCTTTGTTTCATTGTGTAATCAGTGAAGTTGATCTCGGATCGACATTTCAATTACTTCTTCACCTGCTCCTTAAGATTACAATTCACATTAACTCAGAAAAATGGACCATTGGATAAGGTGAGAACAAGTTAATGCATTCTGCTATATGTTTCCTCTTTAAAATTTCAAGTAGAACATAATTCGCTCCGTAGAAATTATTGAAATTCACTTTTAACCAAAATAATACAGTTTTATTTAGCACTGGCCACAAAAAGTTTAAATTTCATGCTTAGAAAAAAAAAAGAAAAAGACAAAAAAGTGTGCTGTGTTCCCTCTCCGCTGTGTGTTGTTTGCAGTGTTAACAGAGCGCGTCAATGGAATCAAAGCGCTGAGATAGAGGTTGCCGTATTAGGATACCATAGAGACAGTTACAGTAACATTTAGTGTGTGATTTAATTTGAGTAAATAAGAAGTTTTAAACATTGATATGGTGAAGTCAAAGCTAAATAAAAACGTTGATATCTTGGTGAGGAATTAATTTCAATACTTTTTGTTGGATAAATTGTATTTTATGTAATATTTTGATGAGGCAACATCACAATGCAAAAATTTGCACCTTATTGAGTGGTCTATTGGTGTAATATTTGTCTTTTAAAGTGTCCCTTTGATAATTATTAGGGCTGTGCAAATAAAATTATATGCAAACACCGGAAATGAACTCTAATTCAAATGACAGAAGTGAATGTTTAGTGCCACTGACCAAGATTCTGAGATGATTTTACTGATGCGAACAGACGTGGTAGCAATTTTGAACTACTATTTGTATCTTTTGCTTCTATGTATTGACATAATTTGATAATATCTGAATCATTTTAAGTATTTTTCTCGTTTTCATACTCTGTATTTTTTTGTGGACTATTCCCTTTGTGCTCAAATCTTGTTTGCACAGTCCTATTAATTAAAACCCATTTTTCTCTTGTGATTGTTTCATCAACACATGAATTCAAAATTTTTAGGTCCACGTTTGTGAATTATGTGAAGACAAAGAAAACGTTTCATTTTACTGTTGTATGCTTAGTTACGTTAGATTATATTTTCATTCTCAAAAAAGAGGGGAGCCGTAATATTTGGAAAACACATTGGTAAAAAATTGCTCAAATTTAACTTGTACTATATTATATTCTTGTGTAAGATGACTTGAACAAAGTTTATTTTAATACTGTTTAGACTAATTTTAGTGTAAATATATCTTGCGATCTGACTTTTTGTTGTGTCTCACTATTTCAAGCTTTTTCATTTTTAAAATTAGCTTGAAGGTTTAGGAAAGTCTGAATAAACCAACGGATTATCAACCTAGCCCTCAATATAACTCAAGCCTAAAGTTCAACCTAAGTATGTCTAGCATTATCGCATCATACATTTTTCCCTTTAAGACTTCAATAATAGAGAGTAAACTCGAAATAAGATTTAAAGTTAGAGGCAGGCTGAGTCTCAAAAAGACCTCAAGTAATAACCTCAGAAAAAAAGAATTTTGTGCTTTGTTGCATGTGAGCTTCGGAAAAGAGCGATAATTTCAACTACATATGTATATTTTTAACTATTATAATGCCGTCAGAAGTGTGGTTGCAATAGTCAGAGCTATGTCTGATTAAACCACATTTCTGGCTCACTCAACCATTTATATCTTGGGCTGCCACAAAAATTAAGCTGAAAAATAGTTGGATTTATCTTACTTTCTCCCTTGAATGATATCTGAAGTGTTGAGAAAGGGTCTTTTTCCCATTCTACTTTGCTGAGGAAGAATTCCGCCAGAACATTTAAAGATCTCCAGATTCCCATGATTTAAAAATTTAATTTTGAGACAGTTGATATTTATTCTTCCTTGAAATTTTCGGAATTCCACAATTGAATTGCAAATATAGTTCTCTGAAAAATTCAAAGAAGAAAATCCAAATGTTTTCCAGAATTTTTTTTGTTTTTTGTGGGCGGATATTTTTTTGCATACATACTTCAGAATTTTTATTCAATACTTTCTCTTAGCACAGTAGTATTGTTAATTTTACTTGAGATGCAAGTATGTACTTAATTATTCAATTCTTTTTCAGCTAAGATCTCCGATGGCTCCGTACTCATTTTTTTACATTCTCGAAACCCTAGCGAACAGATGGTTTTTTAGGATTTGTCTAAATTTAATATTCACGCATTCCTTTGAGTACAAGTTGCAAAACTCTGCTTTTCCTCGATCTGCTTCAAGATCATTCTTCTCATAACTTACTACCGCTCTCTAAAAACAGGTGGTAGAATAGTCCTAAGTCCACACTATTCTGCGGGGAAATGGAGGCCATAAATTTAAACAAATTTCAACTAGAGTCAAAAATTTGAGCTAAAATGAGCATTAGTGCAAGACTGAGGGGGAAAAAGTTCAGCTCAGGCAGACGCTTGGAATCTGCCCCCTTAATCTTGCATTGATACTCATTAGGGCTCAAATCTTTTACTCTAATTGATTTTTTTAAAATTTTATAGCCTCCATTTCCCCGCAGAATAGTGTGGACCTAGGACTATTCTACCAGCCTGTTTCTTAGAGAGCGCCACATTTTTTGTGTTTTTTCTCTCTAAAAATTAAAAAGAGATCATGAAAATGCATCGGCGGATCCAGCAGACTGGCAACATTGTTTTTTCTTCATTTAAACCTATGGAATTGTATCGATTTTTGAAGGGGCCGGGTGCTCCGACAAGAATCGATTATTCAACATAGGTTTAAATGGAAGAGATCCTGTGTTGCCATATTGCTGGATCCGCCCCTGTGAAAATGACAAGGAACTGTTAGTGTTTCTCTTATTAGTAGAATTAAAATGAAAATACTCCTTCCCATACTGCCTGTTACTCATCAATGATGAGAGTAACATCTATCTTGATTTGCAACATTGCAGTTTTCGTGTCATTTGCTATTTTTATTTAAGAGGGAATCATTGTTGTGATAGTACAAAATGGCATGTTGTTTTCCCGTTTTCTCATAAGAAAATCCCTTGAAAAATTACACTCAGTAACGTTGGATGCATTCCCTTGCAGAAAATAGAATGTAAATTGAAATGCTCATACTCTTGTGAATCATTAGTAATTTTCTCGAATTTTACCGTCAACATGTTGTATCTCACAATGCATTTATTTCATTATTTTTTACCATATTTATTTAAAATGATCGCTAGAGTTTTTATTACTTTTTTAATTACCACTCTTTAAAATATTTTATTTTCCCTGTCTTGCTTGTCTATCCCACTAATGTTAAGTAGGTACATATATATATGATGAATGTTCTCTTTTCTGCAGAGCAAGTTCACGCCCTATGTGTGTACAGTCCTGTAAAAATGACCCAAATGAGATCGTATGTTTCGTAATTTTGTTTGTTTGTAAATAATGTGCATCTCAAATGTGTTTTGTCATTTCAAAGCGTTTGAATAAGGTTATTTGAAATTATTAATTGTATATAAGTGTATCGAAGCTTCTCAAGACTTGAAAAGAAATTAAGACAAAGTGCAATTTTATCGCTAGTATTTAAACGAAAAATAATTGTTGGTAACCTAATTGTTGTAAAAAATTTCAATTCGAATGTCACAAAAATAAAAAATGTAAATCAATTTCATCATTTTTTCTTTGGAGTTAGTAAGTGCTGATCTTATTACGTGAAGGGTATTGCAGAGATGAGAGTCAAAGGATCTCTTAAAAAATTGAGTCATTAATTATTTCAAGTTAAACCTATGAGTATAAGAAAAACTGTCCTCAGTGAAAAAATTTAACACTATGTAAAAATTTAAAAGCAGGAACAAGAGATCTGCTTTTTTTTAGGCTGTGAGCCAGTAAGGGGTAACCCTTCCTCTCCCTTTCCTGTTGGAATTTTGTAGATGGTAGTTTGCTTGAAGCTCTTTGCTGGTAAAGTGAGATTCTTTTTATCCACGTGAATTCTACCATTGTGGTGGGGAGAAGGGAGTTAGCTTTCACTAAGGCCCCCAAAATTTTTCAGAACTGAGACTTTCCTGGGAATTTTTCTATTCTCCCCCAAGACAGCTAATCTTAGAACATACTTTCAGGCACTGATCTGAAAGCTAGTGAAATTTTGTGCCGGAAAAATAATGATTGGCTTTTTCCGTAACCCACAGAAACGCCAAAATGGGAGGGGCTTTAAATGTCAAAATACCCCAACTTGCTGCTCAAATAACTGTTTTGCCACGTTTTCCCGCCAATAACTTTTGTATCTATAAATCTTTTATGTGGATAAATGTCCACGATCCATCGGTCATTTTCAATGAGCAGACTTGTTCCTTTGTTTTTGTTTTGTTTTCTATAAATAAGTTGGTTCCTTTTTGCCAACTGCTGCTTCATCAACTCCATCCAGAAATATTTTTACTCCTCCTCCTGCTCATACGGAAATATTTTTACTCTCTGGATCACCTTCAGAAACAAACTGTTTGAGATTCTTAAAACTCGATTAATTGAGCTATTCTGCAAATGATTTGTGACGTTGTACAGATAGATTCATTTTATTAGATTTTCTTCAACATTTACAAACATGATAACAATAGCCAAAAGCTACATATCATTCATAATGACTGAGAACGGAGGCTAACTTAAAACTTAACTAAAGTATAAAATTTTCACTATGTACAAATATTTATAATTCATCTATACGTGGCTCTAACAACCAAACAATAAATTAAAAATTGATATTTACAGTGCAAAAAAGGTGGAGGGAGTTGATGACATTGTAGTATAAGGAAGTTTGATGATATGCCCAGTTCTATGACCTCACATTCAAAGTGTTCTAATTCTACAGCCTCAATAACAGTTCCTCGTTAATTTTGGTGAAAATATAAGGAAGTCATGGGGAGGCATATTTTCAGTTTTTTGGTGAGTGAGTGGTCATTAATATTAGGAGCTTTCCACCAATCAGTTCCCTTTTTATAACACACCTTCCTCTCACAATTTGAGAGGGTCTTTCAAATTTTTGGTCTTGTTTCCATGGGAAAAATGTCTTAATCAGTTTTTTTTTTTTTTTTTATTCAGGAATAGTAGTAATGCCTTCCCATTTCAAAATATCTGTATCTAGACTTTTGATACTTCAAACTACCACTATTGGACTTTCAAAGGGAGGAAAATCTACTTGTTTAGATTCTGCAGATTAGATATCAACCTCAGGATGGTTTATGTGTGTTGGTCCATTCCAATGTAGGGACCTTAATGGCGAACGGTTAAGCTGCTCTCACTTATGTTGAAATTTTCAGCCATAAGTAGGTATATACATCAACAAAAAATGGCACACTTACTTATTCTTAAAAGAGAAAAACAATTTGTCAAAATTTTATAAAAATGGAGTTTTTTGTGGAGTTACTTTAGGGCAATGCACTTTTCGAAGGAAAGCGACTTGCCGTATCAAATCAATAGCATCAACTTGTAGCCAAATTGAAATTTTTGAGTATAGGTTGTCATTGAATAAAGTACATATGTCAGGATAACTCCCACATTTATTCCATCACTACGAGTCTATTTTTTCATACCTCTAGTATAAAACCATTTTGTAATGGGTAGCATAATGTCATAGGCGTAGCTCATGAAGTGCAACACAGATGTAACCCTGCCTCCTCACTTATTGTTAGAAATTTTTTAAAGGGTATGATTAATGTCAATAGAATGCAATGAAAGGAAAAGAGCGATTAGTGGCATGGACAATTAGTTCGAATGTGAGGGCGAACTCTTTCCTCACAAGAGTCTGGATTTTTTTATCCTTCTTGAACATTGTCATGCATTTTTACTAGTCCTTCAGAAAGTTTTCAGAATTCTGTGAAGCATTGAGATCAAAATTTAGGTTTAGAAAATTCCTAAATGTGTGTATAACTTGGGAGAAATTATTTAAGAAAAGACTCCTGAGCTTGTTCCTGCAGACTTGTGACCACAGTGGTGAAAGAACATCCTGCATGGGCAGTAATACTGAAGGAACGACAAATCTAGAGAGTAAGGATAAAATGAAATGAAAACCGAAAGAGAAAAAAGAGGATCTTTGGATCCAAGGTGGAAGTACGACTGATACACTCCGGACGAGCAGATTGCTAAAACAGTGCTAATTTTGATCTTTAATCTTTGGGAAATTCATGGAATCATCTTGACTTGGACGGTATGCCAAAATACGGCTCTGGCTCTTCGTTACAGTGTCATCCTGATCCCCCAAACTGCCCATTCGGCACATGAGGTATTCTTATTTCCCATTTTGGAGACTACCCCTGCCACGCCTATGAAAAAAAATGTCGACAAACACCTTATTATAGTGAGCGTTGCGCTGACTCCACCACTATTATGAGTTTTACAAAAGGAATAATGTTTCAGCTGTCAACTGCAACACGAAAATAAGAAGAAGGAAATATCTTAAAACAGGTAATCAAGGCAGTTCTCATGTCATGAAAATGTATGCCTATGGATTACGAACCGGGAAATGGCAGCATGCGGCATGCACTCAGGTTCGTTTCCACCGCAGCTTCGGTTGGAAATCATGTTGGAAATCTGAGTTCCAGAGATCATTACAACATTGATTAGAGAGAGAGGGCCCTAAGTGCCAGCGGTGATATGAAAACTGGTCGTAAAAGATGATAAAAACCATTAGAGGAAGTAAATTTTAAGCAAAAAATTATGTTAATAAATGAAAATCAGGAAATCATTCTCTTGTACTGACATTTCCAAGTAAAAAGAACAATTATTGAAATTCATGTAATATTTTCATACCTTTCAGGTAATGTTCTTTTTGCTGTGGAGTAACTTGAATATATAATAACTCATCCATTTTCTTGTGAAAAAGTCTCTCAGTTCATTGAAAATTTTAGTAATTTTCCTGAAAATGTTCCTTGATCTGGAAAAGATACTGTTACCTCAGGAATGGAAAATTCATTGCTTTCTTCACTGAGTAATTGACGTAATACATACAACTTAACAGTTTTTCAACATGATATTCACTTCCTCTCAAAAATTTTTACTGCTCTTTTATGATTGTTTTATTTCAGTAATTTTTGACGATCACCGCTACTAGGGTGGGGAGCATGGGGAAAAGAGGGGGAGGGACGATGGTAGGGAGAACAAAGGGGCAGCGGGAGAGAGAGAGAGAAAATCAATGTAGATTTTGGAGACACACAAATATTGGGTAACTTTGAGGGTCTGCTCATAAGTTGTTGACGCTTATGATTTGATTGATCCATCCGATGAATGATGAGACCTTGACATAGACTCCGGGAACATCAACTCGGCCGCACCCGAAACCCCAAGACACTAGACCGGCCAGCTCATAAAATCCATCATCTTGACACACTAGCGGACCTCCCCCGTCACCCTGAAAGAAAAATTTACATAACATTCATTGCTTGGATTTCATACTTGGAACTAACGCAATATGGAAAAAAAATTGCAATATAATTGAGGGGCTTGGAGGACAAGGCGTGCCAGTGCAGTTTTTGAAAAATTGAGGTATTAATGATTTCAAGTAAAACTAGTCTTAATGCATATTCTGTGTTATATAAAGTTCGCTTCCTAATTCCAATTTTTAAGCATCAGAAAGTGAGTTTGAACTTTCCTTGTCATGAGGATCCATGTAATTTCAAACCTTCAAACATGTATTCCTCGGAATGGCAAAAACTGCAGCTACCTATCCCACATGTCCTCCAAGCCTCTCAAATCTACTCAAAAAACTTGTAAGCTGAGTCGAGTTAAGACTAAGAGAGAAACCGAACACGGAATTTGGCCTGGAACGGCGCGGTGCAGAGAGCAATGATGAAGAGAACGTGAGATGAAAAGGAGTAAACCCTCGGCGCGGCGGTCGGCATGTAACACATATTAGCGCCTACAAGACTGCGTGAATACTTCACGCATTGCGCCAAAGACATGCCGTCGCTGCGGTCAGCAGCGGGCAGCGTGAAACGCATAGCGCCTGCAAGACTGCATGAATACTTCACGCATTGCGTCAAACACAGTGCGGTCAGCGCGGCGCGGTGGCGGAAGTTAAAATTACTAAACCACATTTATATTTGCTCTTTCATGATTTTTGGGTTAATTTTTTATAAATGGAGGGCCTTGTCCATACAGAGATAGGTTTACGAAACTTAACTTTCGCGCCAAGTTCCGTGAACTTTTACTAGTAGTGTTGAAAGGGCTTCCGCAAAAAATGTGACCAACACGAGTAAACGCGTCTTATATGCCTCTCCCCCTCCGGCACGTTCACTTGATGGTTTTTATTGATGTTTCAAAACGAATGAGAAGGTGGCGGCAAAATACAGGCGGCCCATGGGCGGCAAGTAAGTAAATCCGGCCCTGAGGCTGAGGAGACATCTATAGGTGAAGTATCCTCATGGACTAGCGTTTCTGAATTTCATTGAATATAATACTGCCGTGCTAAGGAAAAACGCTATATGAACATTTGAGAGTTGCCAAACTTCCCTGGACAAGTAATGAATTTTTGAAGAAAATTATGTATATTTTTCATTGAAATTTTCAGCTATTTTTGATCAAAGTACGCATAAAATAGTCTGACAAATTTGAAGAAAAATTTTCACAATTTTCGCAATATATTAATTTTTTATTAAAGGAAATACGGCAACGTTTGAAGGCTCATACGGCATTATTCTTCCTTAGCACGGCAGGATACCTAGGTACAACTTAGTTGAGAAATTTGCCGCTTTTCTCTTAAAATTTTTAGAAGGATTGAATTGGTAATTCAATATTGTACACCCAAAATTGTCACGAAAAACTATGCACATCTATTTTAAGAAATGATGCTTTTTCCTGAAGGTAATTTAGCAACATTCAAATACCTAAGCACGCGAAAACAAGTCTGCCTATAAGCATGCACAGCAGGCTGCCAGAACGATTGAAACTGGAAGCGCCTTCCATTGGTTGACTTATGCAACAAGGACATCCAGAGAGCAACTATAGCTGCTCTCTGGATGTCCTCGTTGCATAAGCAAACGAGTGAAGGCGCACGGGCACTCCTGATGCTTTCGACAACGCGCTCCGGTTTCAATCGCTCTGGCAGCCTGCTGTGCTAGGGCAGAACTTTAAGGGTTTCGCGTGCTTATTCGAATGTTGCCAAATTTCCTGAAAAAGCATCATTTCTCAAAAAAGATATGCATATTTGGTTTTTGTGACTATAACACTTTTGGGTTTACCTAGACTAAATTAAGAATTTAATCCCTTTAAAACTGTTTAGGAGAAGGCGGAAAGTTGTGCAAAAAATTCGATATTCGTCCAAGGAAAATTCAGCAACATCTAAATATTCACAGTCTTAATGGTGACGAGAAATCTCGATGCTGACATCATAAGATCACTCCATCTTCGTTTGCACTAATGCAGATTTCCTATTGCATTTTACTTCTGAGAGCGATATGATCTTCAACCTTGTGGTTTTTTCCCCTGCTATAAAACGAGGGGCTCGGACGACAAGGCGCGTAGCGGAAAGAAAGTTCAAATTAAATTTCTGATAGGTACTTAAAAACGGAAATTTGGGAGCGAACTTTTACAGAATATGTATTTAGACTAGTTTATATACTTGAAATCATAAAAACTCAATCCCTGGTAAAAATTGGCGATAAGAGCTGCGTTTCAAAATACCATAGGAATTCTTATAGCCGGCTAAAGAAGGCTTACAGAAAAGCATATAGCTGGCTGTAGAATGCGGAGAAAATCATACGGCCGGGCTATACGAAGCGATAAAAAATTATGCAGCCGGGCTATAGTTCCTATCGCCGGGCTTTACACTTTATCGCCTGGCTGTTGCTTTTTCGCCATCGATTATGAAAGGCTATAAGAAATTGTGAAGAAATTCGTGTGCTTTGGAAATCAATAAGTTTGATACGGAACCACCTCAATATTTACAAAACACACATTAGATTTTCCTTTAATACATATTTTTTTTCATCAATTAAAATGAGAATAATCCATACAGGATGTGCAAACATTTCAAAATCATGAGTTGAATAACGCTGACTCTGACAGATTAAATATTAGAGCCTAACACAAAGCGTAGCGGTGACGCACTGGCGCCTACAAACCTAACAGGGATACTTCACGCATTGCGCAACGCGTGAAGTATCCCTGTTAGGTTTGTAGGCGCCAATGCGCGTTTCGCGCTGGCTGCCCGCCTGCCGCACCGCAGCGTGCCACGGCGCTTGAAGCAACTATTTCACACCAGAGGTATTGCACAGTATCATACGAAACTGAAGGCGCTCTAATAGATTAGGAATGGCAGGCATCCATCAAAAGTAAGGAGCTTCCCTCGTAAAATAAATCAAGATACTACGGCTCAAAAAGAGAGCAGTAGTCCAAAAACTCACTAAGTCCTAGCATCCGTATTTAGTAACGTTTAGTATAAACTTTATCGCCTGGCTGTTGCTTAATCGCCATCGGCTATAAATGGCTATAAGTAATTGTACAGCCGGCTACAGAAGCTATTGGAAATCTTACAGCCGGCTGTAGGTCCATGGTATTTTGGAACACAGATTTTACTGCCAATTTTTACCAGGGATTTTCTTTAAAAAAAAAAACTGCACTTATGTGCCTTGTCCTCCAAGCCGTTTAAATTATCTAGCAAATAAGGTGCTATGTCCGTCGGTTTTTTACCTGACAAGCATCGTTCCCTTCCTCGCCTCCTGCGCAAAAACTGCTGGCTGGTAAAATGAATATCTTCTCTGTTACGGCATTTATTTTTCGTATACATTCTGCGTCACTAACAATCGGGATCTCGGCCTCTCGCACTCGCAATGGTATTGGTCCAGCTGAAAGGAATGAAAAATTCAAAATTAACACAATTCATGGCTTCAGAATGCATTATTTTTGGAAAAGCACTTAATTTAGGTAAATCTTCAAAGTTAGAACACATTTTCCAACGTAACTGTAAATATTCGGTTCATGAACATCAAGAGATGCCCAAAAACCTACACTAAAAGCTACGGTCATGATATAGACCGAACCCCCATTCTGCCGTGCTAAGAAAAAACGTTTTATCCGGAGACATTTGGTAACTCTCGAATGTCCATATGGCGTTTTTCCATACTGCCGTCCTAGCGAAAAATGCCGCATAAATATTCGAGAGTTGCCAAATTTCCGTTGATATATAACATGTATTTTTTGACGACATTCGTGCACATTTTTCGTTGAAATTTTCAGATATTTTAGAGTAAATTGCGTACAAAATCGCCTGAAAAATCTAGAAAAAAATATTCACAATTTTCCCTGTAAATTCGGTCTTTATCGAAGGAAATTTGACAGCGTCTGAAGGCTCATACGGCGTTTTTCCCTTAACGCGGCAGTATAGCACGGCAGTGTAGAGGCGCCTTCAAAGCAGCACAGGGATGCAACTATTCCCGCTTGGAGGACGCGTTTGTTGCATTGACTGAAAATTGAAGGTTGTAACGTACCTTCTCCCATGTAGCCGTATCCGGTAACTGTGCATCTCTTGCCTGCGGCGTGGCTGACGCCGCGGGCGGGGAGGCAAACGAGGCAGACGCCGTCCCTCAGCTCGGCCTGGCCGTGGAGCTTGAGGAGGGCGATGTCGTTGTCGAGCGTCTGCGAGTTGTGGTTGTGGTGGATGTACGTCGTCGCCACCCTCAGCGTCTGCGCCCCCGGGCTCCCGTACTTGCGAGTCAAGTCGTGGTCGCCCACTCGCACGTAGATCGCGTCCCCGGAACGCACGATGCTGAAACAAACACATCGCATCTCCATTAATATTAATGTCGAAGGCAAATAGTCAAAATTGCCAAATGCCTAGGCAAATGGTCAAATATTCTTACTTAGATTGAAATTTTGATTTTGTACCCTAACTTTTGACAAAATAATTCGTTGCTCCTGTAAGAAAGAATTCTCTGTAAAAATATGCAGCACACAATAGAATGTTAAACGATTTGTAGATCCTGAATACACACGTATCATGAAATTTTCAGCACGTCATGGAACATAGAATTTTTAAAATTTTAACATTTAAATGTACTAAAGGCAGTCAGGCATAGGGCAGGTAGTATTTGTATATTCGGCTCCTTCCCACATAGCACAGTGCAACGAAAATATCGAAATTCAATTGCAATTTGATTTAAAAAAAATTGTGATTTTTTTTTTACCTTCGAATTGCAATATTTTTACAACACTTAGTTGATGTATGCCAATTTTAAACAATCAATAAAATGAGCTCCATGTGTCAAAAATATAGGCAATATGCAATGCAATGAAAAATTGCAACTTATTTCAATTTTGGTACAAGTTTCGATAAATTAGGCCCCTTCAAATAGGAGCTAGGCAAAATACACAATACTCCGTGGAACTGCAGTAATTTTTGTATCTAATTACTAGGTACTTATTGCAATCTGTGCTACTTGGGTTCCTCCTCCTCCGACATCTCCTCCTCCTCCTCCTTTTCCTCCTCTTCTTCTTCTTTTCTTCTTTTTCTTCATTTTCCTCTTTTACTTATTCTATTAACGACTACGGCACGGCCGTGTTCGTTCATCCATGTCTCGAGCTTAAGAGCTCAAATTCGAATGTTTATATGTTATTTGGATCGCGTTAAGCAGAGAGCTATCACCAACCACAGCCACATTAGCTATCGCCAAATTTAACGGCCGATTAATATTTTACGGTTGTGCGGAGTTTTGTGCAAATTTCAGTGAATTTTCTGCGTAGTACGAAACAAATTCCTAAAAATTTTCAAAAGGATCTGCACAATTGTTCTGTTGTAAAAATTTAAATTGCCCACTTAAATTTGGCAATAAATGATATTGCGTAGTTCGTTTCTATGAAACGCTGTCCATTAATTAGTACTTAATACGTACACAATGACGTCAAAGTTCCGCAATTTTGAAATTAATTTATTTTAAATTTGAATAGATAACGTGCATGATAAGAAGAATCACAGTAAAATTTGGAAATTTATGTAAAGGCTCACAAAACCTTTTTTCTTTCTTTTTTTACCAGAAAAGTACAATCAAGAACATCGTAATAAGACGTAGAAAAAGCGGGGGAAAACGGGCTGGATTAAGGAGTGAGAGGAAGAGAGATACATAAAAGGGAACATGAGCCTGATTCTGGCCCCTCGGTTGAGATGCACAGAAAATCCTCGGGGTTCTCGGTTTAAAAAAAGGTGGGCTTGCGGGTATGAGAGTCCGTCACAGTTGGAAGTTGGCACAGTGAACCGCCTCGATGCCAAGTCCAAGCAGTATTTTGGTTTTTAAGGCGAATCTTCAGCTTCGCTGCCAGAAACAACCAGCGACCGAACTTGGCAAATTAGTTTTTTGCACTGGAAACTGCAAACCACCCTAATTCTACTCAAGTTAGACATTTTCGGACGTTCCATGTTTCTAAACATCGGAAGAACATTTTTGTGTGATCTTGTATAAAATGCTCGACAATCATACATTGAAGCGGAGATGATGAGGGGAGCTAAAAACGGAGCGAGCGACTTAGGAACCCGCCTCTGATGAAGGATGAGCGGATATTGGAAGGAAGGAGTAAGTCCAAAATGTTCATATTCTTTTCTCCTGCATTTTTGGCCACTTACACATTTTCTGAGAAATGTTTTACATATATTTTGGAAAAATCTCAAAATTCGTGTCCGTACCTACCAAAAGGAGACATCTCCATGAATTTTGCTTACTTGACGCAAATGAGGGATGAAACTTTTAAAACTCATTTTCAACTCTCAAACATCTCTAAATTTCCCTTCACTTTTTTTAAAAGCAGCACGAGTCCAAATTTCAAATTTTTTCAGAAGAGCACCAAAAATTTTTGCACAAAAAAAAGTATTTCAGAACTTTCGAGTGGTCGTTGATAAATGTTTTGAACACTTCAGAAAATATTTAGCTAAGCAGTTTTTTGTCTCGATAAAAATTTGATTTTGTGGACTTACGCCCTTTTGATAGAGACCGATCCTATTGTTTGTTGCAATTACGGCAACGGACGATGCGTCCCAAAGCACTAATGAGCTCCCCAGGAGTATGGCTCTCCGCAAGGAGGT